ATCCCTTCAATCCTTAATAAAATGTCAGGACCGGACATACAGACGCTATTGCTCAAAATATACACATTATCTTTAGAGACAGGTACATATCCGGAAACCTGGAAGGTAATGCATGTTCTCCTCAAGCACAAATCCGGACCAAGAAACCTGGCCGAAAACTACAGACCCATAAATATCACTCAAGTTATATCACGCATGATGGAAAAAGTGATACAAAATCAACTATCTGATCATCTACTTAAGGAAGATCTGATAGACCCACCACAATACGGCTTCATTAGAACAAGGTCGTGCGGTGCATGTCTGATAGACTTCTTTAACGAGGTTGGTCGCATACGTGACCAGAAGAAACTATTGGTTATACTATATTTCGATATTAAGAAAGCCTTTGATAAAGTGCCCCATAATCTTCTAATGAACAGACTTAAGTCAGTCAGAATTATAAATCTCCTATTGCGATGGACCAAGTCTTTTCTTAAGAACAGATACCAAATAACCAAGATTAACCCCACAACATCTACATTTCGACTAATAACCAGTGGTGTTGTGCAGGGTAGTGTTTTGAGTCCATTGCTCCTTATAATCTACATCAACAATATATGTAAGTGCTTTAGCACAGGTAAGACCTACCTCTATGCCGATGACTTAAAAGTCATCTATAAAACTGATATTTGCGATGTACGCAGTACCATGCAAACAATCCAACATGAATTCAATATGGTAGAAGACTGGTGCAAACGCTGGAGGTTAGAGCTTAACACAGAGAAATGCGGCTGGTTATGCCTGACGTAGTGTGTTTAGTAAAATAAACGAGGTCAGCAGAACCATCAATTTTGTAAATTTTACAACCATAACAAGTAAACTCTGTTTTTTGGATAAACACCTCTATAGCTAAAGTGCGTTCTTTGCTACAATGTGTTGCAGTACTTGCAGTATTGCTTATGGGAAGCGAAGGGTAAAGATACATGCTGGTTGCTTTCGTGTTTTAAAAAATGAGCCCGTCCTCTTGTGGGCCAGGGAATCAAGGAATGTATTAGCTCCAGAATTACTACAGCTATCCATGTACAGTTTGTGAATTAAGGAACTAATACTGATTTGATGAACCATCCATGGTTATACCATTTTAATGTACTGTTGTAAACGAGAATACAGGTAGGGACAACCTATGTATTTTAATACAAAATTACAGACTTCTCTGGTTGAATTTTAAAACCATGCGTTCAATACTTCATTTGCGAATTCTCTACCAATTGTCTCAAACTTCATCGTTCCTTCATTGCCATAACAATTACTCTGTTTCCGTTCTTCGCAACCTTCTACTACCGAACATCCCACTTTTCATCGGTGTTATATGCTACTTATCCCGACATAAGTAGCATGAACTACAGTATTTATGTAGACATGCATGGTTTAATTTCTGAGACAAGCATATCCGATATACTAAAGGTGGAAGGAATACAACGAGACTTCAACCGCAAAATACTTAAGACTGACTCAGTCATTGACCGCAGTTCCCAATGCCAAATCTTAAGAATAACACCCCTTTGGAAGGGAAGGCTTAAGTCTAATTTAATTCTCTACTTCAGACTACTCAAGAACCTTACTCATTCAACATGTGAGATAATTCTTGCTAGAGATTCATATGAATACAAACTTCGAAACAAAGTGTATACCGTCAAAGTTGAGAAATACAGATCAAAAACTCGGGAAAACTTCTTCCTCATCAAGTATGCAATAATATGGAACAGTCTTCTCTCCGAAATACGCATGGCAGGTGAATTACATACATTTGTAAAACTGCTTGATCAAGCCCCCACTTGCACTGATCTAGCACTTACGAACACATCTGCGCCTCACTTAGACATCGTAGGCTCTCTACGTGTCTAGACCAAAATGGACTTCAGTTTGCCTTATTTTTCTTACTTTGAAGTTGTATTAGTTACATTTTCCACCCTATTTCTTCACTTGAAGTAGACAGGTAACTCACTGGACCTATCGATACTGTTCAACTAAACTCGGTCGCTAAGGAACACTCACTACCCCCCTAAAAATTCAAGGGGACCGCACAGTCAACTGCCGACTACCGGTGGTTTTGCAACTATGGAGCCTGTTACCAATCAACTGTGTAGGACAACACAAAATAACATCAGCACCAAGTTAGTGTGAGTTTCTTCCTGTTTGTTCTTTATCAGCTTTTTACTCTTCTGTGCACTATGTTGACCAGCAATTAATATTATTTCTCCACTCGTTACCTTATCTACAACTCGTATACTTGTGTACTTTACGCCTGCTTTAATAAACAACCATCCTACATTACACCCTTCTTAATGCTTATACTCTGATTGGCAAACTATACTTTATACTATAGTCAACAAAAGCACTGCATCGATGCCTTACCGACAGTCCATAGCTTGTAACTGTCTGATAAGCTTGTAAAGTGGTACTTATAGAAATAGTGTTTTCCAACAGGATGTGAAACACAGATGATAGTGTGAGGTATGACATATATCCAAAAATAAGCTTCAATGAGCCTAACATCACAAAAGGAGGGAGGGTAATGACTTCAATCCACCCATATTTGTGGGACAGAACATTTCGTATGTATCAGGCTCTTTATGATTGAGAATAAGACAGTCAATCTGAGATATAGATTGTCTTCCTGGGCTCACCATTCAGACTCATGTTCCCAATTTTATGCTGGACTAGCTATTCTATTAAGGCAACCTATAACATTTTAACTCGGGCTTTTGCACTAGGATTGTGTGGCTGGCATCGGATGGACAAAAAATAAAAGAAAGATGTTAGATGATAAAACATATGGTCATTAGTATTCTTAACACTTCACCCTCTATATACACACTCCCTTCTAATAAGCCGCTTTCCTTGTACCAACCTTGACTTCCCTTCCTTCATGTGAGCTTACTCCAACTTGTTAAACGACACAACTCATTGTTCTTTATTACTACATTCTCTAATATGGAGCCTCTGACTTCATTTCACTCTAACAAGAGACAATATGAATTTATTTTAATTTATTATACCTCTGTCCGTCCTACTACATTATGTTAAGCAACGTTTGGCGTCCATATCCAATTGCCTTGCTGCTCCTCAATTTCTCTTTTTTTCTTCTTCAGAAATTTGCTCTGAGGGCACAGTTAGGAAACTTCTGACGTCTGGAACAAACTTGACGTACGTAATATATATTTGATAGGCTATCAATATATCGAGAATCGTCTGATCTAATCTGGCTAGCGATTGCAAGGGTTGTTGAACACGGTGTTCCCACTTGTGATCTGGTGCGGATACATGACCGAGCGCCTTCAGCTAGGTGAGTCCATTAAAACCAATGTGATCAGCATTCATTGTCGAAAACTTACAGAGATATTTATTTTGGGGACTTATTTACCGTTACAAATGTTTTAATACGTATATTTCGTACAATCGTTGATTCAAACAAACGGCCGGAGAAACGAAGCAAAGAAAGCTAAGAGAAGGGAGCAAAGCTAAACGACGCGCAGTGCAGTCAAGTGAGCCAGCTCACTTTAGCCAAGCGTGAATCAATATTTATAGTCGACCAAAGTAAGTCACAGACATATGGTGCGTAAGATACGAAATGCACTAAATACCACCACATAAAAACAGAATTAATAAGCGAATAATTGGCAGGCTTGAGAACAATGAAAAGATTTGTCTAGAGGCTGGAACAAATTATATGGGCTTAACATAGTATCAGCACGTACACTATAAATCAGTACACAAATCACATCTCTATTAAACTGCTTAAATGCGACTGTTTTGGATTACAGTAATGGGTCTATAGTAGTCTTACGAGCTTTTCCTATGCGCCGGTTAAAAATTTTGCAGTTTCTACTATACATTGCAGATAACTATAACTGTAGTCGATTTTCAATGGCCATCTTGATTTTACCTTTAAAGTAATGGGAGAGATATGGTATTTATTGCTCATCATCATTCGTCGTCAAAACCACAAATATTAATACTGAACACACGAATATCCAATAGGACCTCGGTTCTGCATCGAAATACCTAATTTCTGCTTTCGGGTAGTCACTCCCTATAACCGTCGGGGACAATGCTGGCTTAACTTTGCCCTTGCTATGAAGGATCTTAAATGATTTTAATTCAAGATGAACATTTAATCTTCAAGTGTTTTTATTGTAACTATACTTACCACTATTTCTAGTATGGTTTTCTGCACTATGTTAGTTATTTTGCCGAGACCTAGTACAACCAATCCTGTTATATTTACTGACATTATCAACTTCAGAACCGTGAAATAAGGGTGTATTAGAAGTGATTTGCTGTGCAAGAGGAAGGAAATCTTTAAGTTCATTCTTTTTGTCAACCAACTTAACTCGGACTGACTTGTTTCTTCTTGATGAGAACATCCCAAAACAGGTTCTACAGTTAACCGAAGTATAATGTTCAGCAATTTCCAACGAAACAGAAATATCTAGTAATAACACAATATTATCAACATGAACAAAGTGGTTCAGTAAAAATAGTCAGCAGTTCCAACAGAGACGAATGTATTCAGTTATTCACAGCAACTTCTCGTGTTCTTCCAAAGCCAAATCACTTTTTAATCAGCGCAATGACAATACATTAATTTAATCTTAATCCATTAAGTATCTTGTGCTTCCTGCCATTAAAATTTTGATTTTAAATATTGAACTAGTCGAAATGTTTCGTATTGTAAATATATTAATCTGAGTATTTGTCTGTGTGATCAGTTGGATATATTTGATATCGGAGTTATGTAAACTATAGGAAAATTTTTGTTTTCTTCTATCCTAAACTTTATTTCTCAAGTATATAATGAGTGACTGAAATTCGGTAAAACATTTTAGTTGGAATCACTAGTAGGGTTAGACAGAATAATAACAAGATAGAGGGGTGGAATAAACAAGACAGACACGTACCACTATAACGACATACAGAGTTTATAAGGAAAAACATCAGGAGTATAAAACAAATATCAAAAGAGAAAGAAAGTAATACAACTAAAATACATTGTGAAGATTTATAACATTTGCTATGACAAAAGAAGAAGCAACATCTCAATTAACTCGAAGCATATTTCACACAATTTATGCGAAGTTTTCACGAGCCCGTGTAAAACTATATGGATGGCGTCATTTAGGATGGTTGGTTTTGTTGGTTGCTGCACTGAATGTTGTTTGCATAGGGGGAAAAAGAAGGGCATTCGGAATATTTGTTGCTGCTCTACACAAAGCTTATAATGACACGAGCATGACGGAATTGAATTGGGTTGGTGACAGTTATGCTGCAGTTGGATTCTTTTTAATGCCTTTCGCTACAACAGCAATAATTCGATGGAATCGACCATATAGATGTACCATGCTTCTAGCCGGTTTATTGATTTTTATAAGTTGTATGACATCAGCAGTGGTGCCTAGTCCAGGGTATCTATTCCTGACTCATACACTAATACATGGCCTTGGATCTACACTTATTTTATGTGGGACAAGTCTTGTAACAGAAGAGTATTTTGACAGATCTCATCGATTTCATGTTTTAGCAACTGCATTTGTTTCCGGTGGACCTTATGGTGTACTAATATTTGGTCCATTGTATTCAAACTTAATACAAAGCTACGGTTGGCAAGTAGCATTTCAACTAAGTGGATTACTTTTCTTACTCGTGACATCTTTAGCCGGGATTGTTTTTATTTCGCGTGATATATTTGAATATAACCAAGCTATTCTGGAGCTTTCTGATTCTTTTGAAGAAAATACCATGAACAAAGCCTTACGAAAGGATCCTTTATTGCTACGTAATTCTCCGAAAGCCAGTGATGGACGTGGATGGGCTTTTTGCTCAGTTGAACATTTGAAAAATAATCCGCAGGTGTTCGTCTGGGGATTTGAACGCTTACTTCATAATCTCGTAATATATGGTTTACTAATGAACATGACAGCTTATGTAAGTCAGGCATTAAATGATCAACTGGTATTGGGTGCCCGAGTTAATTTATACTTTGGTATAGGAGAATCAGTCGTATTTACACTTGGAGCTTTAATCGGTGATCGTATACGAGGTTATTTAGCAGTCGCCTACTTTATTGGAGCACTATTTGCAGCTTTATTTTTGGTTATTATGCAAAATACATATGAAGATTTAAACGTTGTTTATGTACTGGCTGGATTTACTGGTGCTACTGTTGGTGTAGGCAATACATTTCTATATGCTACTTCAGAAGAGATAATGATGGTTCATGGATCGATTGCATTTCCTATGACAAAAATGATTGCCGGTATTGGTATGTTGTTAGCACCATTATTCTCTGGTGCAATTATTGATGGATTTGGATATGGTGGATTTTTTATTAGTATGGCAATTTTAGTGTCAATAAGGGCTATTCTCTTAGGTCTCATATGTTATATATTAAATCTCAAGAAGAAATTGATTTTAGCTAGTGAAAAAGAACACATATTTACAAATGATAATCATTTTAATCATTGTTGTCAAAATACTACTAAACAATGCAATGAAAAATTAACAAAAATTAATAATGTAGAATCTGAAATTACAAATGGATTAAATTCAACAGAACATGATTTAGAGAAACGTATTCAAACTTCTTCTGAATGGTATCATGAAAATGATCGCAGAATGCCATAAATTTATTTATATAATAAAATTGTATAATTTAAACATTACATTGAAACTTATTATTGTTAACGAACCCCCCCCCAAAAGAAACATAATAATTTTATTTACATTTGATTGAATGAATATGAATTTCTACTGAAGAAATTGTTTAAAAGCATGCAAAACAAAAATACTTGAATAAATGAACATTAATTGAAACCTTTTAGAGTAAGTAACGTTTATTTGTAATGATGATTCAATGATTAAAACAAAAATCATTTCAGGTGATATAATCTTATTACATGATTTTTTTCGAAATACAATAAAACGAATCTCATCAAATTTAAATTCAATGCTTATCGTATATTTAATAACTAAAGAGTCTTTTTGTGAATAATTCACTCAATAAATTCGTTATCAGGCTATATAGTTCTAGATTCATAATTATATAATATATATTACAACTAGTGAACTTATGCTTCAATGATTGTTTGAATAAATATCTCATATATATATATATATATATATATATATATATATATATATATATATATATATATATATATATATATATATATATATATATATATATATATATATACTTTGCATTATTCTTAACTCTCATTTCATTTGTTATAATCCATATGGATTTCTTATATTAATTATCATGACAATATTCTATAAAGATTTTTAAAGAAATTTTCTTAAAGATTGTTAGACTATTTTACATTTTTAAGTTAATTATTATAGATTCAAAAAAATTGTTTAAAATCGGTACTCACGAAAGTACTAATTTTTTTGAACTTCAAGTTGATAAATTTAGCATTTATTATTGTGCACTAAAACAGATCCTGATTATTACTCAAGTGCAACGAGACCTAGGTGTTGCGAAATCAATTCTCTGTACATGGTGGATGTATGCTGTCAAGGTGTCTAAGACTAAGACGAAAAAGTTGTCCTATGTTCTTTACAACTATCATTTCGTAATATAGCTTGTATCAAATTGAAATAAATAATTTATATTTGATAAAATATGGAGAATTCTTTAGTATTCATAATATTAGAACTGACACTTCTTATATTCTGTTATTTAATTACTACAGTCGACAGATACATTTTCATTTTAAAGTTTTTTTATGTCATGTATCTCTAATGACTATGAATTTTCAATCACAGAAAGCTTCCCGTTACTTTTGATATTGAACTTTTCAAGATTTTCAAGGGTCCTCATAATTAAAGACACTATTTAGAATTTTCTACCATGGGATTAAGTACATCAACACCAACTTCTTATCTTCTTATCTTTGTTAAAATCAATGGGTGCTAAAAGTTACAGGGATCTAAAGCTTTGTTCCCATTAGAAAAAGTTCTTAGATGGTTAGAAATGGTTATTTCAACTTTCTGAATTATTAGGTGTACGATTACCCACAAAACTACAGTTTTGTTAAGTTATGATTGGGAATTTTGATTTAGAGCAAATCTTATGGTGAGGATTTAATGAAATTACTTTATAAGAAAATAAAAAGAAATCAAAATTTAATCAATAACATATTCTTGCTCTATCTCAATATGTTGTAGTTGAAATAAAAAGATTTTTAAAAAGTTATAAGAGTATGAAAAGTATGCTTATTAGTTAATGTGGTTGACAATGCTGAGTAATTGTAGATGATTTCACAAAACACCTCTTAACAAGACTTGATGATTTATAGTCACATCAGATCGAAGCTGGATTATAGCAATTGACTTCACATTCGATCCAGTCTAAACAACCCGAAAACAGGAGAGAAATGTTTATGAGTAAAACAATGAGAACTTGAAAAAAGGGTGCTAAATATTTTTTAGAGGTACGACGCTTGTTAGTATAAAGAAGTAGGTGCTTTTTACTGAGTGGATGATATCTATACTATGTATTCAACTAAGTATTTATGTAATGATACATTCATTCTACATATACAAGATGAGTACCTAATGGTAAATAGTGTATTTCATATGAACGATGTAATACCGTTCAGTGAAGTTCAGGGAAATAGCTTCCAGGCATAAGAACTAACTTGTATCTTAACACGAATGGATGTCCATGTAAGCACTTATACATATTGCTTGCCACTTTTAAACATTATGGAAATACCTGTTAACTTATTTGTCGAAAAAATATGATAGCATGTTGTGAGTACCTTTAGAATATCTCGGCCAAACAAATGATTTTCTTAAATGGGTTCCCATCGTATTACAAAGAATCTGGAATCACCAGAAGACTTCATTTTTCATTTATCATATCTGTACTGTTTTAAGCTTGTTTATTTTAATAAAACATACTATTGTGATGGCTATTCTACTTTGGAATAGTCATTATTATAAAAAGACAGTTTTCAAGAACTGAATCAAATGGGAAGTTAAAAGTTAAAGAGAAATGAATCATAATATTCAGTTATTTATCTACTGAGTATTTTCATTGTTTCAAAACATTAACAGGGATTAAGGTACCTTATAATTTTCATTTGCATACTATGATCAAAACTATCAAGTAGTGTATTTTAGATTTGTATTCCTAGCTTACAGATTAAAATCGGTGAAAGAGGGAAAATCATGGCTAAATGTAACAAATTAATCTCTCATTGAAAAGTACATTTCAATAATAACATAACTTAAAGATTCAATCTATTATTTGATCAAGAATAATCTATTCTCTAATGAGTAACTGGCTTTGACAGTTGATAATTTTTGATTTTATAGGCAAACAGAGCAACAAGTTTTAACTTCATAATGATAACTATTTATTAGTTAAACTAAACTGTATCCAGCATGATATATATACATGATGAAGATTTGCAACCTCGCATTTAATCCAAGTATAACTCTATAAGCATTTCATCACGAAACGGATACTGTTTACTCCAAAAAATCTGGACAAAGAAATTATAAGGAAGCATAAATTTAGTCAATGTTGAAACCAGTCATAATACGTAACAGTCATAGCTATTGTAAACGTACCCTCACATCTGGATTAGGAGTCCAAGTGAATATAATCGGTTGTTCAGTTCCTGGTTCTAAAATCAGCTGTATGAGAAACATTTTAGAAAATGAAAAAATAAAGTCAAAGTGAATGATTAATTAAAACCTTCTAAGAAATTCTTAGAATTTCAATAGTTGAGATTATAAGTCAATTGAAACTAGATCACCATGGAAAACCTGGAAGCACTGGAAGGCCGTTTCGTCCTAATGTACGACTCCTCAGCAGTGCGCATCCACGATCCCGCCTCACTGGATTCGAACCCAGGACCTATCGGTCTCGCGTGCGAACGCTCAATCTCTAGACCACTGGGCTGGCATCTAACTTTAACTAATCCATCATTGTCTTCAATGAGTTACTATCTCACAGTGGACCCAATTGAACTCCACTGGTCACTAATTCTTACAAGAAGACATAGCAATACTCAACATGTAACAAAATAATTATTTACTATTCATTAGATTATGTATATGGAAAACTACAGTTATGGAATAGATGCTGAAATTTCTTAATTTCATTGATACAATATTTAGATCTTATAAAGAAAAAAATACTGTAAATAATCATAGTAGATTAATAAATTGATTATTGAAACAGTATCAATCAAGTATAAATACTTGACTTAAAATAAATAAAAGTAATATATTTGTAATATCCCAATGAATAGAAAAATTAGATTTTCTGATGTTTCGTGACTTAGTGTAAGCCACTTCTTCAGAGAATAATAATAATTTATGATCAATACTAAATTGACCTTTATAATCCAAAATAATTTTCATGTAAAACTAGTTTTTATTCAGAATATATAAAAATTATTCAAGAGTGTTAATTAGTGAATTAATTATTGTTAATGATTTTACTGTTAAAGTAATAAAATACTTACCTTTGTTGGACTAACAGTAAATCCAAGAGAGGATAATTCATTTAAATTTTCTATTGTACATTCACCACTCTGTTAGTTTAAACAAAATTTAGATTTAAAAAGTATTATGTTAGCATAGAATTAACAAAGGTTAGTTATATTAAAAAAAACAATGAAATTAATAAGAATCAGTTTCAGTCTAAAGATTAGTTTTTCTGACGTTGTATAATTAGAGATTAGTTCTTTGGACACCAGTGTAAAAGGAAGTTAGATTATATTGATACACTATAGTGGTTATATAGTGAACAGAACACCAGTGGGCACAATCGAATGTATTTAACTCAACATTACAGGACTTGTTAATAAAATCTAACAATCAAATAGTAAATACGTAATTTGCAAATTGTCCATCAATTGTCTCATAATGACTCAGACTTCATAGTTCTTGCATTTTCATATAAATTGCATTCTGTTTCCATTCTTTACTGTTCGATTCTCTTGTCTCTCTGCTGCCAGACCTTCTGTTCATGAGTAACGTCATATACTACTTACGTCAATATATGTAGAACACACCACAGTTACAGTAAATTTTATGTAAAAAGTTACTAGAAATATCACAGTTTAGTCCATTTCAATTTATAGAAAATCTTTAATGCATTTCAATATCAAACGAATAGTACTTTTATGAGGTTCTGTAAATAATCATTAGTAACTATGATGAAGTATGTGATAATGTTGTCCTGAGTTACAATAAAAGCTTTACTTTTATTAGCTCAAAAGGCACAACACTAACAGAACGTTTCTTGAGTAATTTCAAGTATCTAGGTAATAATAAAGTTGTGGGACAGATAATAGAGATCAAATAACAACATCTAGTTTGTATTTAAATAGATTAAAACATATTTGTTGGTTCAGTGAGGTCTGGCATTAAAAGTAATATGGAGAGCCAATCAGAAGTAGAAAAAGGGTCACTCGATGGCAATCAAAAGTCACCTAAAGATCAAGTGCAGTTAATTGGGTCAATGGGTCGATTTTTTGAGGAAAGAGTGGTATATATATGAATGAGTATTTGTGCAATTCATTCGGTAACCCAATATACATTCTCGCTCACTCTTGTGTACTCAATCAAATAGTCAGTTAAGGGGGGTTAGCATATAGCACACTGTTCATCAGTATCGGATTTCGGACATTGCATATGATAACAAAAAAGCACGTCTTATTACGTAAATTTGTTTTCTTGAAAAAGTGATGGTTGAGAATTACAAGAATTCTAGTGGGGTTATCGACACTGAATATTAAAGCTCAATCGTTATCTTAGATTTGTCTTTATTGATAAAGTTATCGATTTATCATTTT